AACTCTACCTAGTTGATATTGGCTCTGAAAACAGCAGAAACTTGTAAATAATTTGTCCCTTTTAATTCTCTTCACTGAAGAATGGAAAAATAATCTTCTATCAGATGGCACTAACAGAAGATTTAAAATGGATGCCAGGTCACTTTTCTTCCGGACTTGCCAGCTTCTTGTAGACATGCTGCCTCAGGAATTAGTGAATGCAACTCTCTAAGACTTCTACCTGATCCTTTTTACAGCTTTCAAAATTCAGTAGTTCTCTAGTGTGGGATTCACTGGTAAATGTACATGTCTACATCTGAGCTGGTCACTCTAAGCTCTCTGTATAAGCAATGGAGAGAAAAAGGTGCTTCGAAAGTATAATTCACCTTATTCTAAAGCAGTTGTCTGAATCCTAAAACACGGGGCTCAGCTAATCAAATTACTTATTCTTAATCATTTCCATTGATTATATGGGGTGATTAACCTAGTCCTCTGGATCAGAATTAAACTTAGGAGAAAACCCCTTTGCTCTTTTTGCAGAGAAGGACAAAGGTTTACAGAAGCAAAGGATTGCTCTATATTCACCAGTCATCACTCCTAGAGCAAAAATATTATATTCCAGTTCTCAGTATACAATCTGCGAAGTACTTTAATGATTGATCTTCCCAGTATTAGCTGAGATGACTGGCAATTGCTCTGGGGGTCACAGACCAGCTGAGAATGAAAGCCTTTGCCTTTTTATGTTCCAGATAATCTTGAAGTGGACCAGTCTTCTGGTGAAATCTAAGCAGAACAACCCACTATATCTGAAAAACATCTGATCAAATGCGTATAAGATGATTTTGTCTCCTGCCTGAAAAAGTCATATCAGAGCATGTCTTTACCAACACAAATTTATCAAGGCAAGTTTTCCATACACATTGATCCACCACTCACAAGACAGAAAACACAAATACAAATTTTCTGCATATCTAGGTCAGCCCATACCGTTTCTGTATAATAAATTAGATGTCATCTGACTACCAATGAGTCTTGAGCAAGGACACTGGAACTCCATTATCCGATTCACAGAAATACATCTAGTAAAATCGCTAATGTAGTATTTTTTTGTTACTACTAAACAAAGCTGTTCCTCTCATCAAAAAGATTTCAAAGTCTCTCCTTCTAGTCTGTAACTCCTTTTTGATGATATGGTTGTCTTTGGACAATTTTCATTTGTATGAAGAGGAGAGAACTCTTACTTGATCTTTCTGGCCCTGACAAAAACATCAGGAAACAGGAATGACAATATCGAATTCTGGTCCATTCTAGGCTCCAAACTAGTTTGAAGATTCAACCCTGGAGTCAATCTCTTGATGGAAAATGCCTTATTTCACAGTTCATTATTATTATTTTCCCTTCCTTTTCTGTCCTATTAAACTGTCTTTATCTCAACCCTGAGTTTTACCTTTCTTTTTTCCGATTCTCTCCCTCATCCCACTGGGGGGGAGTGAGCGAATGGCTGTGTGGTGTTTAGCTGCCTGCAAGGTTAAACCATGACAATCATGAACTTTTTGACTCAAATCAGTCATAAGGACAATTTGTAATTGTTAATGCAACCTGATTTTGAGCCATTAATGATTTGGTAAGTCAAGACCAAGAACAGAAAGTATCAGGGAAGGCACACTGAAGGCCAGTGATGTCAGCCAGCCTCCTCATAAGCTTACAAAAGCCTAATTCTGTGGCAAGAAAGCAGTCACATTCTGTATTAATGGGAACCTTTACTTTTTTGCATTTCCAGCTTCTTACACCACATTCACTTCTTATCTCAAGTTAAAGTCTTAGAGAGGGAAACAAAACAAAATCAATGAAAAAACCAAAGCAATATCCTGTTTTAATGTAATTAAAGTACTATCTTTCTTAAGCACTGTTTTTTCTTCCTCTTCTATCATATCACCCTGGGACAAAAAATTATTACAAAGAAAAAAAAATGAAAACCATCTCCACATTTTTCCACAGAAAAATGAGATTATAACATAAGCACACTTAAAGGAATTCTTCTCATTTGCTGAAGTTTGGAACAGAGTACAATACTGTATAATAAAAGGATAACTGCGACCTTTTTTTCCTTCAACTATGAAGAAACTAGCTTATCTTAATTTTAAAGAATATTGTGAAGGATACAATTTTAGGGAACAGCTTTGAAGAATGTTGCTTGTTTCCATAAATGTGATACTACCCTTGCATTCCTTTATTTAGGAGGTAATAAATTTGTTATCTGCCTAACACGCACCAAAAAAAAAGGGTGTTTAATATTAAGCAGGAGTGTGGCTACAAGAATTTGTCTTGACAAAATAATGACTGACCTATTAAGTTAACCTCCATATTAAACAAAAGTACAGATATTTAGGTGGTAAAAGAAAGATATCCTGTCCTTTTATAAAGAAGTGCAATAATCTACTTCTGGAATGGAAACAATATTTAAAAAACTACACAGCATATTATAAGCCATTTCTCACACTTTTTTTAATAAAAACATCTGTTGTCTGCTGAGACATACAAAGCATAACATTGATTTCAGTAAGATCATTTACAGATATGGCATTGCCTTACTTTAGAAATTGGTTTAAAATTGCAGTTGATGCATTTAGTTTTTTATAACTAGCCTAGTACTAATACAACTGTGTAGCTGCTAGTTTGTTACCATTTGTTTGCTCTCAAATGATTTTATCAGGTTTATGGAACAGCATTAGTAAATTACATACTATAGAAATTTTGTAACTGCTGAGCCATTATCAAAAGCTAAAATTCTGAGAATAATTAAATACAGAGAACATGAACATAATCTCTTAAAAGATGTACTTAAAAAATCTCCATAGAAATAAACCAGAATACATACGATATTTCAGTTTAATCTTCTAAGGGGCTTTGATAAGTTTGAAAAACAGCATATTACAAAACAGTGAGGAAACACCCCACTTTGTGTAGGTGTTGCAGAACAGATGATGAGATTCTCACTTCATTGTGGATTTCCTTGCTGGTTTCCTCTTCCACAACCTCCAGACTCAGGGTTTGGATATAAAAAGCAAAATTGTATAGGAGGGTTTTTTGGGATGGTTTTTTTTGTTTTGTTTGTTTTTTTTTTTTTAATAGCAGTACAAGGCTGACCTGATCAAATCACAGCTGTAAAATGCACTTTTGAAGCCTCAAGGCCTTCCTAAAATAGCAGTGACTTCCTGTGTAATCACAGAGAGAACACTTCTGTCCCTAGCATGGTGTGCGTACTGTGGAAATCCACTGGGGCTACAGACTGAAACAGCTCACTGGGAAGGCAAGTCAGTCTGCAACAACTGCATAATGACTACAGCAGCACTGCATAGCTGGTACGGAACTAGGGTGACAAAAAGTGAATGTACTTATTTCTATGCTTGCTCACTGAGGTATGGTACTTCTTCCCCCTTCACAGAGCAACTACGCTACCCTTAATTCAGGGGACAGGACCTCTGTCAACACAGCATTTGCCTGGGAAGGATCTGTTCCTTATGTTGGTCCAGCTCCTGCAGAATGTGACCAAGTCACAGACCAATCTTAGTTTCCTTCTCTTTAAGCAGGGAATATTTAAACCAGCTATGACACCTAGCACAATTAGTACGACAGCATGATCAAAGGTAACTGTCCCACATCAACCACGTGTACTCACAGAGCAGTAACACGACACTTTCCACTGCCTCACCTAGCTCACTTTCCTGTCACTATCAGGTGGCTCTCTCCCACAGCTAACTCCGATAACAGACTCTCTCCAACAGAAACAAAGGAACAAACTGAACTTTGCAAACCCTAGGATGACATATTGAGGAGGTCCTGCCCAATCCCATCATTGAACTAATCTTTAGTCCATCATCTTTGAACCTAGTCTTAATTCAAATAAAAGAAGTGGGGTATGAATTTGCTTTAAACAGATCGCTCTCCTAGATCATCACACCAGATACATCACAATCTTTGTACCGACAGCCAGAACACTATTAGCTTTATCATGTTACCATTGTAAAAATAAAGGCGAATCGGACATGTATCACAGGAAAGGAAAGTGTGTCTGCTGGCTGAGTATTATATGGTATGGTTTTAGGACACTGCTAAAGTTATTACCCCTCCACTCAAATTTGGTAATTTTCTAGATTTTCATTTGAAAGTTTTCAGGGAAGGTTTGCAGGTACATTCTTAGGCTAGGGAGGAGAAAAGAAGCGTGTTTTGCAAGAAACTAGCTGGTCGAATTCCTGTCTGATTGATAGAATGCTTTTATGCTGCAAGGGTGATCTTGCAATATTAATTGTTGAGGTGCCTAGAGCCCTTGTATATGCATCTTTTTATTATTTAAATATTGAAATAAATAAATCATCCCACTTAAGCAACCAGCAATTCAGATTTGTTAGAATTCTTTCATTAATTTTGATGGTGCTGAACCCCAGATCTGTTAAAAGACTCCAGCAGAATAAGTCAGTCATAGTCTCTTGTAACTTCGAAATGTAAATACCTCGGCTGTAAGAAATCAAAAGTTATCTAGATTTCTTTCATTCATTGGGTTTTTAAATAACTAATGGTGTATTAAATGCTTCACCACAGAAGTCAGCACTTGGGCTTGGCTAAATAATAATTCAAAATTACAAGAACGTGTATGTCGGTATACTAAGCTTCTACCCCAGAGGAGATATTTCACAGAGGCTCACAAAAAAAAAGTAAAAAAAAAAAAGCAGCACAATTTCAAGTACAATTACTGACACAATCTTAACAATAATGTTACAAATGTGATATAATACTTTGGTAAATACACAAATTAGTTAAAGCAAGGAGTTAAATGCTTTGATATGTTTAAGATCAGGAGAAATGAACCATCATTATTTAATATCAACTTCAATTTTTAAATGCCAAGTTCCACTAAAAAGGGTAGGGCCTAGGGAACTTTAAATTTAAATAATGATGATGACTAGAAACAAAGGAAACAATAAACTTATGGATGTTAAAATGCTTGAAAAAAGCCAACTTACGCAGCAGCTTCTTGTTTTGACAAGCCTTTGATATTCTTCGCCAAATAATCATCTATGCCATCTTTGTCTTTGATCAAATGAATCCTAGATTTAAATGAAAAAAAATAAAAGAAACACTGTGAGGTGCTAACATAGACTTCTGCAGCATGTATAACATATTAGCATTGCCAAGTAGAGCTAAATACTGAAATATTGACAAAGTAATATATCAGACATCCTATAAACACATACAAATATCTTTTTAATTTTTTGCTCTGTAGCTGTTTCAAATATTTAGTTCTGAAAGAAAACAGAATTGGTATTAGCTTTCAAGGACCTGGTTATCTGATATTTCTGTCTAATCTAGAAGAAATTGTGTATTAGTTAAATCAATAATAATTGATTAAGCTATCTATATTTAAACTGTTTTCTAAACCAGAACCATTACATTTTTGCATTATCAGTATGGACCAGAGTGGTCCAATCTATTTTGTATTTAACTTTTTCAAAATTAAAAAAAAGAAAATCAACAAAACAAATCCCAAACCCAACACAAAATGTTTTCCTTAGTGCAATGCAGACTTTTAATACTGCTCTCAGCTTTCCACAGTTTGAGCAGCATATTGCAAAAGGTAGTCCACTAAGGGGGTAATCCAAAGGGCATTAAAATAAACAGCAAATTTCAGGATGCATGGATCTAATTTTAAAATTTGAACTGTACATAATTTCAGCTTTCACTTGAGCCATCATCTCTTTGCATCTCCACTCTGATACACAAGAGATGCTTTGAATTTTAAAGAATAATATGCACTTACTGACCATAAATTGTATTTAAATAGATTCTGATATCCCAACAGTAGAGGATATTATCTTTATAAAAGTAATGTTAATTTATTTTTGTTCTTCTTTAAAAAAGCATAAAGATTGTCTGGTTAATCACTCAAAGATAAAAGAAATTCAACATTAGTGTTCCATATAAATCTATTCTTTCCTCTTTCTCTGTCTGTATTACACTGCTGTCTTTCATTACAGGGATGAGAGTAAATTCTTTTCATAATGTTAGCTAATATAAGCATCATGCTCCTTATTGCTCTGAGAATACCAAAGACACTACATGAAGTTCATTTAAATGAAAACAAAATAGCTAAGCAATGTAGAGATATTTTGACATGTCTGTATTTAAGACAATGTAATAGTGAAAACTTCCGGCACAATTAGGGCATTTAAATTTGTTGCAGAATTTACTACTACTGGGCTGCACCAACAGAGGCTTATGCTTTCAAGCTGCACATAACACAATCCATATGAGTTGCTGCTGACCGTGCAAAATGTACACCTTACGGATACTGCCCTAAAAATTCAGTTATAATCAACACCAAAATTTAATCAATATCAAAATTTTTACACCAAAATAGTTACAATTTAGGAAGATACATAATGACATTAGGATAATAAAGATACGCTAATTATTGTATATTTTAAACTGATGTAAAACATATTTCAAGATACAATAGGCTTATATGAGGTAATAGAAAAATTGAAAAATAGTATCTCTGGGTAATTAAATATGAAGTATCCAGTAGACAACACAAAAAACCCTGGCTGACCTTTGTATTTCAAGTCTGCAAAAATGCACTTTCTGCACATCTGTAGCAGATGTGCAGAACACACATAGAGAACACACCAGATTGGGAGTCCAAACCCCCAAACTCAGTCAGTCAACTACAACAAGAACATTCCTAGGCATCACTATCAGCTTGCTGCAATTTAATCTACACTGCAGCTAAAAATCATCTCAAACTGGAACAAAGGAAAGCCTGATGCCTGCTCATTATCTTCTCAAAGGTATTTTAATAAAAAACAATTGGGGAAAAAAATGTAGAATCATACACAATTTAAAATGTCACCTGCCTTATAGTCAAGGTATAAATTTCTGAGTTCTGATTGGCAACACCCTCTAACTTAAAGACAACTACAGCTAAGGGGGAAAAAAAACCAAAAGCAACAACTTGCAAACAAATTACTGTTTACACAAGTTCTGCAATACCCTGTATTGGACTGATGCAACTGCAAACACGGTCATCCATCATAAAGAATTTAAGTTAGTAAAAACAATAAATACTTATATCACCCTGGCTGTTATTATCAATGATGTTAATGTAGCAATAACACAGAAAAGACAGGCAGATGATACACAGGAAAAAATACACAGCAGAAAATCCCATCAACTCAAATAATCATTATTTAAAATGGCTTGTTATATGCAGTGAGAATTAAAAACAATAGAAGTAATTAATGTGAAGAACTGAGACTGTGACTTGGAACGCACATTGTTTCTTAATAGAGAAATGAGGTGAGGATGGCACTGGCTAAGAGGCACTGTTTCTTTTCTTCCAGTTGTCACTTGCTTTTTCCAAACTGTTTTAGCCTTATTGCTCCAGTGTTTCCATGATGACTCACTATATTTCATAAAGAGTTTATAAAAGTCTACTTCACCTGTAAATTGACTCCTATTTACTTTTAAATCACTCACTTATTAAAGACAAATACAGTTTAATCCAATGGACACCTATCCCAGAGTTAACATTTTACATCATGCATTCCTATAACTATTTCTGTTACCAGTCTACACAGCAAAAAAATAGCTACTGATTTTTTTCTAGAAATAACCCATGATAAATACACCTGGCTTTTTAATCAAAGAACAGAACAAAGTCGCATAAAGGACCAGACTGATTCTCACATAACTTTCTATCCCCGCTGCCTATTCTGTTAACTCAGATTCCAGTTTTCTCAAAATTTCCTGTCAAAGAAAATGGCAGAGCTCATCTTGCTCTAATCGCTAGGCATCTACAGCATAGTCTAGACCATTGCAGAATCACACATTTCTTTTCTGCAAATAGGCACAACTTCTGTAGGACTGCTGCAGAATGATCTTCTTGAACATGAAACTCCCCAAGTAAATGGAAGAAACAAGCATCCTACCTCAGGGGTGAGTTCTCCAGCAATGTAGTTACTGGAAAAAGTGATGGCTGCAGAACACAGCTCCAGCCATAAAAGATTTAAAAAAAAAAAAAATTGTAAGACATCACTGCATGTCCTTATTCTATCAGTGTGTGAGAGGACACCTATCAGTATGAGCCCCTCAGAAAGACTGGGCCCAAGGATACCATGTTCCTTGGTCCTTACTGCTTTTAGACATGGACATGCAGCTGCTGAACTCTGAGATGCCCCAGATCTTTCAGCCAAAGGCTAAGGGGAGTGCTAGGATTGGGGGGAAAAAAAAAAAAAAGAAAAAAAAAAAGGAGGAAGAAGAAAAAAACCACAATTCTTTCTGAAATGGAGGCAATTTCAGGAAAAAGAGCATAGCGGGGCAGAGTAGTAACTGAGAGACCAGTACTCACTGAGGGAGACAAAAATACAAGTAACTAAGAGGAGAAATGAGTGCAATGGAACGGAAAGCCACATAGGCATGTGTAAGAAGATGGCTTGAAAGCATTATGGCACTGTTGTTAACCCTCTCAGTTATTAAGTACAGGATAATGTTTTTCAAGCCAGTTTTATTCATTATATTTTCAGAGACATGAAACTGTTTTGTGCCTGAATGAAAAAAAAAAATCTTGTTTTTTCACAACTTATTGTACAAATAAGTACATTTTCAATGTCCTACATTCGTATCAATACTAAATGGAAATAACTTCCTATGGCTCTTGAAGGAGTTTTGAAAAATTAGGATGAAATATCTACCTTAAACAGAACACATCTCCTATTTCATTTTTTTTCCCTTTTAATTATGAAACTTTCCTAAGAGAGAATTTCCTTGCCTCTGATTTTTGCAGTTTTAAATATTGCAAAAAAGCAAACATAATTTGTCACCTCAGCATAGCTGATTGAAGCTATTCACAGTAGAAATGATACTCTGAAAGAAAAGAGGTACATACCTTGCAAAGTCTAATGAGGGGCAAATAGTCTGCTCTATGAACCTGGGATGCTCCCCTGGGCTTTGTAGGATCGCTTGAGGCAACACATTCATTTTAACTAAAACAAACAAACAAAACAAGGTTACTTAAAACAATGTCTTCACAGTGATGCAGTTCTTATCCTTCTTGTGGTGCTTCCCAGTCAACTCTCTCTTATTTCCAGTGCATTACCTATAAAACTGGACTCCAGTTCCACACAAATCTTTTTAGGCCTCAGCATCACTTCAGTAGGACATAATGCATAGGAATGGTCATGATCTTACTTTCAGTGGTTTTCTCTCTTCCATTGGAGTGCTTTTGCACAGGGACAACTGATTCAGGATCCTTAAATACATGTGATTCCCTGTGCTTCCTCAAGCTATCTAGGTCCAAGTATTAATAACATTTTAAGTTAATACATAAGGTGGAGAAATGATTGAACATGCAGTGCGCAATGCAACAACAGGCACTGTATTACATTTCAAAATAATACATAATCATAATAGTAACAATCCTTTGAATAAAAAAATGTAAGTAATGCTATACTTACAACACGGGATTTTACTTAAAAGCCGAAAGCCCCACAGTTACGTAGAATCGTCTAGCTCGTCATTTTGAAGTACATAAATGCTAACAGGACTTTTTTATCATATAGAGCCACTATGTTTTTTCCTCAAGTATTCAGTCTACACTTCCTACCATTAAAGTTTCAGCTGCCAGTTTCTTCATTTTGCATGTCTGTGATCTGAGGACGTTAGCAGCAGGAGCACCCTTACTTTTAAATTTGGTTTAATGTAGGTATTGCATGCCCTGCTGGTAGGCCTCAAGGCACAAACTTTTAATAGGGATGGGAAAATAGAATATAATAGGAAGGGGGGAAGAATTTAACTATTTGCTACATTTAGTGAAAGGAAATTTATTTTACAAGAAAGAAATGTTAGACATAAATCAACTCGATACTGAATGATCAGCATCAGACTAGCAGATATTTTATATATTAGCCTTTCTGGGATCAAAAGCTGTTTCATTGATGCAATATTTTGCTACAGTTATAGTGAAGTAATTTTTTTAATTGTGTTACTTAGAATGGAATAACAAAGACAATTATAGGTTGAAAAGATGACAGGATACGATACTTCCCCTAAGTCATTCTTTTGGAGCTTAGTACTAATGATAACATTTGTTACAGAAAGAAAAAAATATTATTTATAAATAAACTAATCTACAATTGGAGGCAGCAACATTTTAGATAAGTGTGTCATAGAAAAAAAATCAATAGAATAAAAACATACGGGTAATTCATCACTATAAAAGATTATACTTCTTATAGAGAATGACAGGTTTGTATCCAGAAGCAATACAGAAAGGAAAATCTCTTTTTAGGAAGATGCCTTTCAGTGAGAAATAGTAATTAAACTTTGGAACAACAATACTGAAGCCCAGAGAAGTTGCAAAGCTTTCTACAAGCCTCTTAGTTTTGAGGTATTAGGTGAGAAAAAGCAAACAGACCATGTCTTAATGGCAGCTGTTGAATTTGGCAAGGCAGGAGAGCTGACCATCTGCAGCTATGGGGCAGAAAAGCCAGGGGTAAGCAGCTGAAAGGAGACCCTGAAAGCCCTGGTAGAGCCACTGCACCCATGAAAAGCTATCGATGGGTAGATGTACTTTGTGGCATGCCACAGGTCTCAGGCTCCAGGCTGCACCCACATGGGACCTGGCTGGAGCATACAATAGCTCCTCGCTGGCCCACACGCTCCAGGTTCCCACCCCACAGAAATCAAGTATATGAAGACAGGCTGGCACGCACACAGGTCTCGTACTAACATGAGGCACATACACGGACATTTTTCTGAGTCCATTACTGCCTCACAAGGATTAAAACTATTGCCCTGACTCCTATTTCAAACTCAAAGCTTGGGGATGAAAAAAAAAAAATCTGCTTCATAATAATGTCAATTTAATTTTTATTTTAGAGGTGGGAGGTTGCTTTCACAGTGAAATGGATGGTGTTTTTCCCTCATTTCCAAAGTAACTGTAATCTTTACGGGTAAATTACAACCACAGAGACACATGACAGAAGGTATCAGCAACACATCCTTCTGAAACGCGTGCTATTACATTCACATAAATGTCGTTGCTGATCATTTAAAGACTGATAACCCCTTTACATCTTACTCGTTTATTATAAGGCCCAAGCCACATCTCATTTGCTTCATCAGACACCCACAGAATTCAGCAAAAGACAAGGCAGTGCAGTTGGTTTCTAAAGAAGTGCTGTATTTAATCACACGATCAAGGGAATCTCCCCACAGGCTGGAATCGCTCCAACGTGCACTGAAGCTAAAGGTAAAACGCCAGCTGATTGTAACGGCCTTTCCCGGCCCGTGCTAGGAAACCCGTTCGCTGCCATCTAGCTCTTCCCACGCATTTTCTGAGGCACGCATAAACCTAACTGGAGGCTGAGGATTTCCCAGAAAGGGAAGCAGCCTAGGATCCAGCTGCCTTTGCGGACGTATTTGCTGCTACCTGGCACCTTATAAAAGGATGTCAGTGTGACGGGTCAGACTTACAGCCACGCCGCTTTATTACACTGAAAGTGCTGATTAAAAAAAAAACCAATAAATTTTTAAAATCTGGCCAGCATGACAGATGTAATTTGTTCCAAGTAACACGGATGAGATCACGGCCCCAACCAGCGCCTGGTTTTGCTGCGCCCGACCCATACTCTGAACCTCCTCCGGCCTTGTGGCTACCCAGCCCTGGCTGCAGGAAGACAGCTGCCCTTCGCCGCT